GTTTTGGTATGAGGTAACCTGCTATAAAGCAATCTGGCCGTCAATCCTTCTGAGAATTCAGACTGCTTTCATACTAACGACTGACTTGTAAACACGAAGAATGCCAAGGCTAATCGCAGTTCCAATGGAGGCAGTTTGAGTTGAGCAAAAGAGAAGAGGGCATGAAGAGCTCTCAGAATGAACAAAGATGAGAACGGAAAAGGGCGGAAGAGTGTCTGCCGCTCAACTCGGCTCACATGTGAGGCATTGGTGAATCAAGTGATCTTTAAATAGCTGCCACCAAAGCTTATGTGGATCTGGAGCGTTTAGTTTCCTTTCCTTTCAGACACATGCTACTGTCTGCTGTTTTTACAGTATGTGGGCAAGTGAATTCAGTTAAAAATAGCTCTAAAGATAAAAGTGCTTAATGAGCTCTAAAACTTTGACATTGTCCTTTTAAATGCAAATGAGCCATTCAATCTGCACTCTGCTCTTCTTATGTTTGTTCATATTTTAATTGAGTTGTTAATATTTCATTATTTACACTAATCATTGAATACATTGGAAATGCTACAGCTTCTCAAATGAGAACAACAACCCCTCTGGCATCCTGAAGGCTTTTGGTATAGGTCTGACTCCTCCATTTTCCTTGATTATTATGATCTTTCCTGGGCTCCTTGTGTGACAGTTTGGCCTTTTCATTCCCAAAAAGGTTCTTCATTTCCTGGAAAAAGTTCCCGAACTGCCCTGCACTTTTAATTTGCATTAATTGACTACCTTCCACTCATGAACTAGCAGTTCTTTAGAAAATCTGGATTTACAAGTCTTCACTTATGAATTCAGACATGCATAATAGGTCAAGGTGGAATGACCTGCAACTTTATCGCATGGATGCGAGTCAGTTTTCATGCTACTAGCAAGCTAGTTGGTCTCCTTATGAAGAAACATATGCATTACACATCATAAGATTATTCAATATTCAATTCATGGTTGAATAGAATAAGAACTATGACTAAGGATATTAAGTTATTTGGCAAATGCACAGCAAAAAGCAAAATGTTATTTGGGTTGGATAAAAAAAGGGGACAATTTTGAAATATACCAACGTACAGGACTGTGGTCATGTGACAGAGGATGTTTCAACAGCTACTGGAGCCTGTCAAAGTTTCAGCATAAGATATGAAACTGAACATGATGGATCAGCAAGCTGTTGGTGATGGTAACAGTGGGATGAAGGGGGTCCTTTGTACCATGTTGGCGTACAGTAAACATGGCTCTGTTTCCCATATCTCATGTTTGGAAAACAAAGCTAAAGCTAAGAAAGTGGTTCTTTGTTTCCCCAGACTTTGGTTCAAGGCCCCCTAAATGCCACCCAGCTGACCCCTCCTAGCAAAAACATAAAGGCCCTCTTGAGAGAGCCCAGTGGAAAGGAGCCAATTTCTGTCCCTGGTATGCCATCTTATTTCCTGGAGGACAAATATGTTTCATTCATCTCGCATTAATTAAGTAAAGGAGCGCTTCAGCTCTGTTCTGCTTGTTGCATCAATTAGAATGTTTTTACTTGGGTTTTATATAGTTAGGCTATAAGCAGGTATTAGCTAATCATCTAGACAGCTAAATGAAAACCAAAAGACTTTCTGACCTTTCAGATCAGCTCAGTTAAATACCTGGAGAGTTAAATGTTCTTAAAACTTCAAATCATTTCTCATTTGGTCCAAAGTCTTGTTTGTTTTGGTTCAGTTTGAGCTCTAGTACTAAAATGGGAAGTTACCGGAACAACAAATTCTGTAGGGTTCTGTCTGGTTCATGTATGGGTTTGGATTGTAGTGAGATGAGCTCTGATGAAATTGAACTTGTTTGACTTAATCACAGTGCGAGTTTTATATGAATGTTGGACTGAGGTTTTGATAAAAAAAGAACACAAACACAACTGTTGTTAAGCATCATGTGGGGCTTGAATTAATTAATACAGGTTTTGTGTCCCTTGGCATCTTTCTACTTCACAAAATGAAGAAACAGTCATTAATATCTACCACCTTGTTTTAGATGTAAATTAAGTTGTGGCAATGGGAGGGATAGAGGGAAGATTGTTTTTAAAAACCCAAATGGTTTAGGACTGTATTTGTTGTCTTCTGCTGGTCCAAAGCTGGTTTGGAATGGTTCGGGAACCCAAACATCCCTCGCCCAAACAATACGAAATGAACCCTGATGAAACTCAGCCACTCATCTATTTGCAGTCTCATTCTTTTGGTCGCTATCCAGATCAAAGTCCTCTGACTGTATTTCCATTACATTTATTCAGTGGTGTCTGGGTTACTGTAATAGTTCGTAACTCAGAGGGATGTCCACTGGTTTCTGAAAACATTTCTTCCTGCCTCTAGTTACCAGAATTTGCTCCTTGTCAGTTATAGAAGGAATTTTTTTCCATCCTTGTTTGTACTTCTAGTTCACTACATGGACAAATCATGGAAGTTTTCCATCACAAGTCCCCAGCAGTTCTGATAAAAGGTATTAATAAAAGAATAATCGGTAGAAAACTTTATACCATGTGTTCTTACTTCCGAAGAACTAAAAAATCAGATAATATCTCAATGATCCCTTTTGGAGGGTTTTGTGTCAATTAAAATTTCATTATAGTACAGAGAATATAAAGGGTCTGAAATAAATACATACACGATAAAGAACATATGGGAGAAGTTTGTTAATACTGTTGATTGTAAAGGTTTTTTTTTTTCATTTTACTATCATTATTATTATTTTTTAACTTATTTTCTTCTGTAAACTGCAAAAAAAAAGATTTTCCTGTAAGGGATTAATAGTCATTCTGATGCTGATATTGCACATTATTATTATGATTAATAATGATTAATTATTATTCATATTTATTCATTATTATGTGTTGTATTAGAATTCCTTCCCTTTTTCTTCTGCCACTGTCATGTTCAGGAGACCTCAAACCCAGCTGGCCTGCTCAGTTTGTCCAACCTGAATGCCCCCCCCACCCCCTCTTCCCCCTCTGTACAGGTGGTCAGTGTTACAGGACAACACACAGAACAGCCAAAGGTATCGACAAAGCGGCCTTTGTTCCCATTGGAGACCTGATGGCCCACGGACGGATGACATTGTTTTATGGTGTAATGATACCAGCGCGCTGTTCGGTGAGAGCAGCTTATGTTTGGAAAAGTAAAACTCGGGTGTATCGCAGTCACTTTTAGGGTCATGTCACCTCGGTGCAGTGTCCCACTCAGAGCCACTTAGAAAAACTGAAGGTGAAAGTAGAAACCGCGTCTCATAAGACGGTATTCACAGAGAAAAAGGAATGGGGAAAGAAAAACCTGTCCAGGGGAAACCTGTCTGTTGTAAAATGATACTACAGGAATAGTCAGGATTTGTTTTTTTTGTTCAAGGACTGTAAAAATTCACAGAGGAAAAGCATTAAGTAAAGAACAGAGAAGTTGGTGTACATCGTCTCCTTTAGCCCTTTAAAGCCTGATCCAAGAAAAATAGGAAGAATATTGGATTTTTTTTGTTTGAAGTCTTTCTTTAGCCCCTCAACAACATATGAAAAAAAAAAACAGAAATGATTTTGATCAAATTACTGTGCAATAAGTAAAAAATATATTTTGGTGGTTTTCTACTGGCTGTTATCAGGTATATGTGAATGTGTACAACAGGGGTTTGAGCAAAGCTTTTACCACTGAATGATGCAAAAACTCTCAGATCCAAAAGACTTCAGAAACCGTATGAAGCAAATATGATACATTTCGCATTATAGGGTTAAGTAAACAGTTAGCATGAGCTTTTTACCACTAAAGGAAACAATAAATAAACAAATGAACAATAAAAAATAGTTGCTTCCATATAATAATGCTTCCATTTCCCTGTTCAGGCTTAGAGTTGGAAACGATCCCTCTTTGTGACTGGACCAAGATGTTCAAACAGCCCAATGAAAAAAAAATATTTTGCACATTCAGTCTTCTGCTGACTCGGGAATATTTCATCTCAAATATAGTTTATCCACTGGATTTATACATCTTCTGAGGCTCCTGCTGGGATGATAAGCCAGACTCCATCCAGTGAGATGGAACCATTAAGCCTGCTCGGACCATCCTCAGGCTCAGAAACGGGAACCTACAACCATCCGTTCTCAATTCTGGGCTTCATTCAGAATCGACGATTAATCCAACATCCATGTTTTCGATTATGGGAGGAAGCTGGAGAAAACCCTTACAGGGACACTATGACCCCCCACGCCTCCCAATTATCTGCATCGATGGCTTTCAGCTCCATTAGCAGTATCATAATGATTAACAGCCCAAGGAAAAATATCTCGTTTTATTTTCAACTGTAAAAAAACAACAGCAAAAAAACACATTTTCCTGCTTAAGGGGCAAGTAAACAGACAGCACAATATGTTTCCTCAACAAAAAAAAAAAAAGAGAAACAGATTCCAGATTTTAAAACTGAACTCTGACACACGTACCCACACACACACACACACACACACACACACACAGATAAGAGAACAATGGAAGTCACACCAAACGGATCACAACATTGTCTAAACTTTAAATATGTAGGGAAATAATAAGATTATTGCTCGACGCCTTTCGGAAGTGACACGCTCACACTGGTCATGGCTGCCAGTCGGTGTCTGTTACTGAAAGCAGAAATGGTTCGTGGTCCTTCAGTTGCCGCCCTGGTGAGGTTAGTTCAGAGCTCAGCTTAGATTTGGACGTAATGCACTCCAGTCATATTCATGCAAAACGATCTCAAACTGAAAATCTTTTTAAAAAATCTTGTGAAATAAACATGCTTTTGCAGCTTTTCTTGCATTAGAAATGTCTGAGTAAACCCCATCTTGTGTACTGCATGACGTAAAGGCGCTGAAATGTCTTTTAAAAGTCTTTTCGTGCTAATTTTTTGTACCTGCTGAACATCAGGAGACTCTCTGAGATGACCTGTAAGCCACGCACTCCAGAGGGGTCATCTGTCCGAGCACAGCAGAGTCGGGGGGGGGGGGGGGGGAGGGGATTAGGCCAACCGAGCAGGTCCAGGGCCCAGAATAAAAGGCTTTTATTCTACAAACACCAACCAGCTCTCATTTCTTTACATTAGTCTCCAAACAAACCGACTGTTTATTTCAATACAGTCTTCAGAAATATTTGAATAACAAAAAAATAAAAACACTTGGGTGAGTAGGTGTGACTTTGTCCTGATTCCGACCAAAAACTAAAATGACAGCAGTTTCATTGGGAATTTAGATGGATGTTTGTTATCATGGACGCTCTTCAGTTTTTACAGTCTTTACCTGATATTTAGGAGATTCGGGGAGCAGATCGGACCATCTGGAAAGCTGTAGCTTTCCTTTTGGAAAAACGTGTCAGGCCGAGTAAACTTTCTATATGTGGCTCGAATGGGAAGGTTTTGATTGGACATCGCAATAATTAGGTTTTCTTAAAGTGTAGTGTCATAACGCTAAATGATTCAACCCAACTTCAGGTTTTAGTAAACCTTTTTTAAAGACCTCCAGCCAAACAATGACTCCAGGGGGACATTTGGTGCTAGATAAATCAAACTGAAACGCACGGGAGGGTCGGATAGCTTTGGCTATTTAGTAACTATCGCCTAAAGGAAGATTATTTTAACATCACATGGACGTTTTCCATCCCTTCGCAATGTGGTCCTATCTCACTTGGCACACTGAACTGACGCTCTCTTAAACAAAACGTCCACATTTTCTTTTGACTTGTAAAGGCCGGCAACGTATCTAAGAGGTAAAACGTGCGCGTTTGACAACAAGAGGCTTTCAAAGACTCACTAAGTCGGTAGAAAAGTTGAGGAATGTGTTTAGCAGAGTCCACAAGAATGTTTTCTCCTTTTAATGAGCGAAACCCGTCCCTGTTTTATAGCTGGTCATGCTTCTGAACCGTTTTTCCACGGACTGGTTTACTCTGGGTGGAATTTACATCAACAAGGAACAAACAAGTAACACATTCCGTTACTTGTAGTATTTAGAGAATTCCGTATTTTTTCATGTTTTGCTCTCGCTGAGCTGCTAAGTCCAATATATATATATCATTTAAAAAAAAACCTTTCGTGTGCATTGACTGGAATTTCAGGCTGCTTCTCTTTAGTTTCCAGATCCGGGTGGCAGGCTGTCCTGTGAGTGACTGGGGATGGATGAGCCTCAGCTCTGGACTCTCACGGGGCCAGTGCAAAGTGCTGGCATGTCCCCTGCCTTCACTGTTTGTTTGTAATGCTGGAAAAAGCCCAAATGAACACACGGATATTGGTATCGTGATGCTCGCCTGATACAGCAGATTAAGTCCCCCTCTACGTTTAATCTCCGCCTCTTGGACCCTGCTGATGGTTAAAGGCTTTGCGGGTTGACAGGCTTTACTCAGGGTGTGCTCTTTGGTCAGGAGCAACTTAAACTGGTTTGTGGAATCAGTACTAAGCTTTATTCTTGGAAAAAGGGACTTAACTTATCTGCAGAAGACTAGAGTTGCAGCTCCAGGTCTGTCAGAAAATCCACATCATTACTGAACTGACGGTAAAAACAGAAAGAGTCCAGGTCTGAACCTCACCCAGAGTCAGTCATGGAAGCTGAAAATCCTCAAAGACAACCGGCGTCCCCTTCACTGTTTACTGAGACAGCTTATGAATGGATAAACATGGCTTGTATCAGAAGTCTCAAGAAAAGAAAAAATATGTTTCCTTAAAAAGCTTTTCTTAACAACTTAGGTGTCCGTCCTAAAGCAACTCTGAAAATTTGAAAAAGGCTCAGTTGAGAACGTGTTGGACAGAGAGGCGGCTGGACGTCCTGGTGCAGCCCTCCTTCCACAGAGCAGACCTGTAGGGGCCCGCTTGCCGCTCACAGCATGATTATTGCATAGTCTCACGCACAGTTCCTTTTGTGGGCGCTTCACAAGCCGTCAAACTTATGTTTCAAGTAGTCTTTCATAACCTTGGCAATCGGAAGATCCTCCAAGAACTTCAAGCTCTGAAGGCCAATACAGTGCCGGATTTTTATCCGACACAAGTCCTGTAGAGTCCGAGGCTGTCCTGGAAGAAGAGGGAGACAAGCGTTAGTTGAGCAGAGGCCAGGGGCACCACTGGGCTAGATTCTAGCAGCCATTGCCACTTTTAAAACACGGCTAACAGCTCGGCTAACAGCTCGGCTAACAGCTCAGCTAGGTGGCTCAAACTATCAGAGCGTGGTTCAGAACTTCAAAACTGACCCTCTAATAACAAACACATCAACAAGCAAAGTGTAAAACTGACCTACAATGTCAGCTCCACATGAAGAACAGAGTCAGAGCTGCTACAGGAAAAAAGATGAAAACTTAAACCGCTTAGCGTATCACAAAGCTTCAGAGTTCAACAGCCATATATCCTGAGGAATAAATCCAATTCACTGTGTTCCCTTCCGGTCCCATGTCTGCTGTTCTGGTATCAGACAACAGCTGGAGCAGGTGGGAACTGCTTTTAAATGCCACTGCAGCTAGAATGGTCAAGAAAGCTGGAATACATCAAAATATCCCGAACAAAGTTGGAACAATTGTACTTCCACTCAGCTTCGTGCGTGCAGAAACCTAAAAGCAGCTACACAGAGGAGCCCGGCGGCCATTGCCCTGCTCTACACGCTCCCAACGGACATCCGATGAGGCTGCAGGTAGGAGTCCCTGAAAGGGCTCGTCCGAGTCAATGCACGGCTCTTTGATATCAAGGTTCAAGGGGCAGCGCAGGAATGCAGCCATTGTTACGCCTCAGTCTTTATGCTATGCCTTTCTGAAAGCTTCCCTCTCCTAAGGCACTGGTTTGTGTTCCTCGACTCTCACACACGTGATGTGTGAGGATGCGTGTGCTGTGAGATACTGGAGACTCAAAATGTAGTGTCCACCACGTCCTATTGTGCCGTTCTGGTTTTGGAGTGGAAGCTTCTGGAATGAGACGGACAGGAAAAGACAGGAAAAGAACACGGCACTTACTGGTGACCTCCTGCAGGAAATCCAGGCAGGGCCGGCTGATCCCGGACATGCTGACCGACACGGCCACCGGGGTCTGGCCCTCGTAGTTCTTGGTGTTGGTGTCGGCCCCGTACGCGTACAGCATCTGGGCGCACAGCACGTCGTCCCGGAGGGCCGACAGGTGCAGCGGCGTCTGCCCGTCCTCCAGCCGGCCCAGGTTGGTGTCCGCCCCCCGCTGCAGGAACATGCGGCAGTAGGAGTGGTTGCCCTTGATGACGGCGTAGCGCAGCAGGAAGCCGTTCTGGATGTCGATGTTGGCGCTGTGGTCCAGCAGGATGCGCACGCAGCTGGAGCGCTCGCGGATGATGGCCAGCTGGAGCGGCGTGGTGCCCTTGTCGCTCAGCGGGTCCACGTCGGCCCGGAACTCCAGCAGGAGGCGCACGAAGGAGTCGCGGCCGTAGTGGGCGGCCACGTGCAGCGGCGTCCAGCCGTCGTTGCTTTTGGCGTTGATGATGTCCCCGCGGAACTCCGACTCCAGCATGAGGCGGGCGATGCGCGCCCGGCCGTGCATGGCGGCGTAGTGGAGGGCGGTGAAGCCTCCGATGAAGTCCTTCACTGTGGGGTCGGCTGCTCACAGAGCGGGGGGAGACAGAGAGAGAGAGAAACGTATATGCAAACGTTATATTGGCGACATGCAGCGATACGGCAACAGGAGCCAGCTCAAAGTATCGGTCCAGTTTGGGATGGATTGCGCAATCACAGGTTCGGATCGGCTCGTTGCTGCCGCACCTCAAGTTTCAGCCCGTATGTCAACAGGAAATGTGCAATTTCAGCGATTTTGCAGATTAAAATGTTTGCAATTAGTCATACATAAAGATCAGCGGACAAATATTATAATGTTATCGTATGTTTTTTCTTGTGACGATGACCGGTGAGGCTCTGCCTCTCCTTACCGCACGTCCCATTAATATATATATATATATATATATATATATATATATATATACACACACAGCAATACAATTGCAGTATGTGTGGGTGTGCAATAATACTCTTGCGCAGCTTTTTTCGTATGTTGGCACCCTGCAAATTAAGGGTGTTCAGTTTGGCAGTTTTGGCCTCAGTTTGTGGATTCACATCCTTTGTTTTTTAGGGTGAGCAGCCCTGATGATGCGGGTACAGCATCAGACACCAAACTACCTCGGCATACGTCACAGGACAGCCTTTTGAGGAGTTGGCGGACATGAAACCCTGAGATTTACAACGGTTCACTGTCTGATCGCTGACTCCGATTCTCCACTTTGCCACATCCAAGATGGCGGCGACGTTGACGTACGATTCAACCCTCAATGCTGCCTCTATGTATATATGTCTACAGAAGAAACGGTCCTAATGAACTGGTGGGGCTTTGCAGTGACTCAAATTCCCAGAGAACACAGATAGGACACAACTTCCACTTTCCCTGGGTTCCAATTCAGCCCGACTCCTTCAAGCTGCCACATCTAATAAACATGGCTGTACGATCTGAGGGATACAGAGACAAAAGTGTGTCGCTCCAAACTGAAATGTGATTTGAGTGTTGTCAAAAGCCAAACATTTACAGTAAATACTTAAGTATGTGCAGCCAAATACAGATAAGTAGCCATAAACGGGCATCTGCATCCAAAGATGGAACAGGCCAGTCATTGTGACTGTGCACTGTAACTCCACAGCATCCTCACACAGCCCTCTGCTCATTCCAAGACAATGAGGGTGGGTGTGTGTGTGTGTTGAGGAAAGTATCTTCACAGGTTTTATTTTTCTTTTGCTCCACTAATTGATGAGGCACGGCTCCAACCACATTTCTGTGACGCAGAGTGTGTGACTGGGCATGCCAGGTGGGTCCAAAGGTTTCTTTCGTGTGTAAGCAGAAAGCCTTGTGTTCACTGAGGCTCAAAGTGAGTCAGGGCCCTCTTTGACCAATGCCTTCTCCCAAATATTTAATGATATGTCCGTTATCTGCAGTGTTACTTTGGTCTAGGCTTGTCCCGATCCGATATTTGGATCGGACACCGATATTTGCATAAAAATGCGGACCGGCCGGCATGAGAAAATGCCGATCCAGACTCCCGATCCAGTTTTTATTTTAAGTCCGATCCCACACGAGAATTAGCATTTCCTAACCCACAGGTCTGTGTCCTAACCATTAAGTTGTTATAAGAGTAAATCCCTGTTCAACATGAGTCTGAAAACTAAGTAAGTAGGCTAAATAACTTAAAATAAATAACTTTAATACATGTTCTGATAGGCCGGGATCGGTATCGGCCGGCATCGGTATCGGATCGGAATTGCAAATACAATATCGGTATCGGATCGGAAGTGCAAAAAGCTGGATAGGGACATCCCTGCTTTGGTCTGTTCTCTCTCTAATGAATGCCCCCCTGGGCTGGTCTGTGTGTTTTGGTGGGCCAGCCTCAGACTTAAATAGCAGTGATTACTGTTAAAATGGACAACAGAGTTAGGATAACTGACTTTGTGGCACAGGCTGGATGCCCCCGGTGCAGAGGCCTGCAGCACACAGTGTTTGTACTGAAGCTCTAGCAGCAGTCTTTCTGGTTTAAAACCTGAGGGCTCCTATCAGGTCCTATTGGATACCGGTTCTGATAGTCTAAAAAAATTATAGGTTTAATTTTTTAGAGGATATAAGAAAGAGATAAGGGCCTCTGACCTCCATGCTCCAGAAAGACTCGAACACATCTTTCTTTTCCTTTGGCAGCAGAGAAGTGGAGCAGGGTCCAGCCGTTGGCATCCCGGATCTTAGGAGAATAGCCCTGCTCCAGCATCCTCCTGACAGTGTAGACATCCCCCGCCGCCACTGCAGCCTGGATCTGCAGCTCCTCGTGAAGCTCAGAATTCCCTCGGCAGTGATGGTTCAGCATCCTGTCACATTTCAGAAGGGCAATGTTCAGCTGGACCTAACCTCTGCTTGGAAGAATCCCGTCAGCAGATTCTGGACGTCCACAGAAACTAGGTGGGAATAAGCCCACCATGTAGTACAACCACCCAGCCCAGTGTTTAAACACCGTTTATAGTGTGCACGACCCTCATAACGGCCTGTTTTAGCAGGATTATGCCCCATGTGAGTCAATAGTTGAAAGAATTTTAAAATAATTATTCAAACTGTGTATAAATTCTGAAATATCCCATCATTTTGAGCTCTGCTACAAATTACAGTCAGGTGGGAGCAGCTAGCAAAATGTTTCTGGTATCAAGCTGGTATCAAAACCATAGATAGTTCCACATAACTGACAATAACAACACAATGTAATCAGAATGTAAGCAAAGAGCGTGCACAGCAGGGCACATCCAAGTCATGTTGCATCCAGTCTGCAAATGAGACTTTATTTAATATGTTTATGAATGACTGAAATCTGTGAGATAACAAAGTAAATGAAAGTTTTAGTTTAAATGAAAATTGTTAACTCTTCTGTCTGAGAGCGGCTCACTTTAGTAAGAGATGACACTTCTTAAAATAATGATAGTTAAAATAGATATCAAGCCTCAAAGGGACATATTCTTCCACACTCAGCTTTTTTTTGTAGCTGTCAGACCCTCTGTTCGACCCCTCTTTCCAAATATGGTCACTTTTGGTTAAGAAATCATTTAAATGGTGAGGCCCAAAGGCCAAACCACAGTTTACAAGCCAGTGATTGGTGTCTCAGAGTCATCAATCCCTAGTTTGGTTAAAAAAATGACCAAAAGAAAAGAAGCCTTTAATTACACATCCCCTCAAACAATATTTCATTCACATTAGATCATAGAAAACATTTCAAAAGCCGGGTGAGACATTAGTCTGCTTCACGTAAATCTGACTTCTGGTATTTTAACAGAGCTGGCAACCTGCTGGATCTCTTTAGTCGGGACACAGCATCCAGAGTGTCTGAATAAGATTTCAGCTTTCAGTGGACGTCCCATTTTCAGCTTACTCAGCTGACATGGAACCCAGGCCAAACAGGAGCTAAAACATCCCTGGTACCAGGTGCTGCTGCCTGATGGAAAATCTTAAAGCCCAGCCCAAACTGAATCGAGCCGAGTTGAGCTGGTTTAATAAACCGCAATTGTATAAACTGTCACAGATAAGGCCCAGAAGTTTCCAGATCCAGAGTATTTGGATGATTTTATGTCTGCAGAAGATGGCATTTTCTGGATATTTTATTTTAGAAGTACACTGAAACTGTCAATTACCTTTAAAATGGACCTTCTCACCTTTCCTGCCAACTCTAGGGCATAACGCTGCCATCAGATTGTAGATGGGCTCAAATTTATCATGAGACAGGAAAATATCTCACTCTTAGTATTAAAAGAGAAAGTTTTCTATTCTCTAATGTGAATAAAATGCTGTTATGACACTTTTAAACGTTTCCAATCAAGAGCTACTCAGAGTCTGACAGAGTTTCCAAACTTGTGTATGAAAATGGACATGATGGATGAGCTTTTGATTGACACTGGTCTTCAGACTCAGTAAGATGAAGAACTTCATTTACCTTTTTACCAGGTGAAGAGAGGGACTTCTCTTCGTCATATCGCAGCTGCACCTGCAGTTCAACAAGCTGGTTAGGAGGGCATTTCAGTGGTATCCCTGACACACACACACATACAAACACAAACAAACAAACAAACAAACAAAACTCTCCGTGATTACATCCTACATTACGAATCCGGCTCGTGCTGGTCGCTGTTAATTACAACAGCATTTAGCATAACACATAGGGAACTAAATATTTGAAAGGAGAGAATGTTCTTGGATGACTGACAGCTAATAAAACGGTTTGTTGTTTCAGTAATAATCTAAAAAAAAAAAAAACTATATTTGAGCTGAGAAGAGGGCGTTAGCTACGTGTTTCAAAGCTTGTCAAACAGCTATGTTACTGTACTGATTGATGGATACACAATGGACGATAAGTAGCTCTATTAGCAAACACAGACAACAATTCAAACTAGGCACCAGCAACAACAACAAAGGCTGAGAAAAGGTACTAAAAATGCTCCACACACTCTACAGAAAATACTATGAAGGCAACCTTACCTTTTTCTCAAAATGCTCATATAGGGTTTATATTTAAATTAAGCTGTTAGCGAACACTCGTTAGCCAGCAAGCTAACAAACTCAGTTGCTTTGGCTCACTAGTTGTTCGTTTAGTCATAGTACTTACATAGTTCCGAACGAATAAAGCACAGTTTGGTAAACGTGTCAACTATGAGGCTAGTCCTGCATATTTACAGGAAAAACAGCATCTTTGACACAATAAAACAAAGACTTACTGGACAGACGCTGAGGAAACGTTTAGCCAATCAGCTTCAAGGGAGGATTGGACTTGTCAAAGCTGCATTTTTTCCCGTTGTTTTCCGCTCAAATATGACTCAACTCAGCCTCGTTTATAGCTGAAAAAGACCTCCCCTATCAATGAGAAAGTCGCCGTTTAAGCTAATTTACAGGGTCAAACAATCATCCTAAACCAAAAAGTAGATAACGGGCTGTGACCTCAACAGGAAAAACAATCCAAGTTCCGTTATCATTTCAGAATAAAAGCACGGATTCCAGCAGCAGAGACCACAACATGATAACGTCTGTCAGGGAGAGCTCTAGGCAGTCCCCATGAAAGACATCTGGATAAGGATCAGAAAAGAGGACAGGCGTTAGGGCGGTCAACAGGATAGAGGACCATATCAGGACCGAAGATAGATATTGACAGATATACAGATTCAGGACAGATGACAGACATCAGGACTGGGGAAACACTTCGGCTCATAGGACTGACACCAGATAATCAGGAAAGAGAAAAGACACCAGGGCAGTCCTGGAAAAAAGAGGACAGATATCAGGTTAGTCCTGACTTTTGTAGTCATCAGGACGGAAGACAAGCATCAGGACAGATACCAGTCATAACATTTGAGTGTAAAGCGCGACCATATAAGGCCTATACTGGCCTCTTTACATTGGCTGCCTGTTCTTTATCGAATAGATTTTAAAATTCTTTTATTAACTTATAAAGCCTTAAATGGATTAGCTCCCCCGTATCTTCTGGAACTTTTAAAATTTCAGCCCGTGTCCAGAACCCTACGCTCTAATAATCAGCTTTTGCTGACAGTTCCTCGGACCCGATTAAAGAGGAAAGGAGATCGGGCTTTTTCCGCTGTTGCTCCTTCTCTTTGGAATGATATACCCTTCCAAATTAGATCTGCCCACAGCCTGGATCATTTTAAATCTCTTCTCAAAACTCATTTTTATTCCTTGGCATTTAATTGAATTAGTTTGATACCTTGTTTTATTAATTTGTGTTGTTATCATTATTGTACAGCACTTTGGTGCAGTTCTATGCCTGTTTTAAAGTGCTATATAAATAAATTTGACATTGACATTGACATTGTAAAGTGGCATTTGCAAGTTTCAGGTCCCGTTTAGGTTTGTATGCAACTTCCATAAATGAAACCCCTGACACCTTCCTACATGTTATGTTGGTCAGTGTAAATGCGGGAGTGTATATCTACACAGCGTAGACTTTTAAAAACAAAATCAGTGTAACACTCTGACAGAGTCACATCCTGTTTTCCAATCTGTGGAGCAAAGTGTTGTAGTAATCCTAAAAAAAGCACTGAGATGTGTTATAATGGCTCAGGTGACCCTGGAACATCTAATACTTATGCTGTTGTTAGCCTGGAATGCTGGGGAGCTCCCATGATGCACCATTCCTCCATCTGCTCTCTCTACACTGGAGAGTGTTGCCTCTCTAAAACAGAAGCAACACTCAGAAGAAGCTGGGTCCTTTGTAAAACTCACAGCAGTGTATTATAAAGAAGACAAAAGGAAAGCTGGAAAAAGGGTTTTGGTTTTTCATTGCATCAATTAAAAAAAGACTTATTATTCATCACTGATGGAAGAGAACCGTCATCTCTGTCCTTTGTAATATTCAGAGAGATGCAGAAAAACCATGTATTTATTACTTTAAGATTGGACTACTGCCCTTTCTTCCCAATTGGGCTGTCACACAAAAATCTCTGAAAGGCCTTTAGCTGATCCAAAACAATGCCTCCAGAAATCTCATGAAAATTTGAAAGATTATATTTATCCAGCTTTAGCTTCTCATTGATTTGCTCCTTGTTAGATTCCGAATAGAGTTTGAAATTGGCACATAAAGCCCCTTCATGGGAAGCAGAGCCTTCAGTTATCAGGCCCCTCTCTTATGGAACTAGGAAGAAAAGGCTCTTTTCTTCAGTTTGTGTAATTTTCTGGCTATGAAATTGGATTGGATTGGGCATACATGAATACAAGCCGTATCTACTAACTTTAATTAGTAGAAGAAATAACTGTACATGAGACTTTGTTCTTGTAATTAGCTTCAGGCATCTTGAACTTCTGTTCTTTGTTGTCCCTGTTTCCTGTTCTCTCAAACCCCCTCTTGTCCAAGCAGATGGCCACTCTCCCTGAGTCTGGTCCTGCTCAAGGTTTCTTCCTTTTTTTTTTTACACAGTGGCTTTGTGCACACTCACAGTGAGGGATCTGCTGGTTTCCTTATCTGGGAATTCATCTATTGGCCATAATCTGATCATCTGTTTGAATGGTGTAATTAATTACCTTGAATTGATTGGATTTCCATTGTGTACACTGAATTGGATTGTATCCATCGATGCATCCATTATCCACACGGCTTAGTCCTACTACTACTACTGAGGGGGGGGGGGGGCTGGAGCCTACCCTAGCTGCCATTGGGTGAGAGACAGGGTACAGGGTTCATCACAGGGCCACTCTGACCAACAGTCACACACTGAAACATTTACTCCAATGGGCAATTTAGAGTCTTTAATCAACCCAAACATCATTGATATCTGTAATGAAATAGTATTTTAAACATGTTATGACTTTATATATATATGTGTATATATATATAATTTAATATTATTATTAATTTTTTATTATGCATTTACCCTTTAACATGTTATGACTTCATATATATATAATTTAGTATTATTTATTGTTAATGAATTCATTTTTTTCACGTTGGTGTGGTGGTCAGCACCATTGCCTCACAGCGAGAGGGTTCTGGGTTTAAGTCCCGAGGGGGACCCAGGACGATTCTGTGTGGAGTTTGCATGTCCTTCCTGTGTTTGCCATAAAAAAACTGCATGTTAGGTTGATTGGACATTCCAAAATTGCCCTTAGGTGTGTGTGGTTGTTCATCTTTCTGTGTCTCTGTGTGGTGGACCGTCCAGGGCGTACCCCGACTCTCGCACATTGACCACTGGGATAGGTACCAGTCCCCCCTGTTACCCCATTAGAGAATAAGTGGTAATGGAAGGATGGATGGATGGAAGGGTCAGAAAGTTGATGGATGTTTTTTGGCAGTTCTTTTTCTTCGGAGCGGTGTTTTCCTGCTGTTTCCAGTCCAGCAGGGGGCGCTGACGTAACTTCAGCTCGTTTACCAACTCGCCGTTGGTGAGAAGAAATGGAGGAGGAGGCGGAAGAAGAAGAACAACAATAAACATAGACAGAAGATGATTTGACCCTCTCAGCTGCTCAAAGAGGGAAAAAGACGAGCCGTTTGGTAGAAATGAACGAACGGAACCCGCGACCCCCCCGGTGAGCCAAAAACTGGAGACGAAAGGGGGTGACGGAGGACAGGATGGAGGTCGACGGACGCCAGGACTCCACCGCGGAGCTCTTCAGCTGTCTGTCGGACGCTTACGAGTGCTTAGTGACGAGTTCCCCCCCAAAACACCCTGCCGCGCACGTGGCGTCCGCGCTGTTTTCCGGGCTGTGCGAGCCGCCCGCGGAGCTCCACGGAGCCCGGTGGGAGCTGACGTGCCTCGGCCTGACCGTGCTAGGGAGGGCGCTGGGCAGCGCGGCGGTCCCGGGCCGGTCCCCCTGCTGGACGGACGTCCTCAAAACGCTGTTCGAAGACATGGAGGCCATGTCCCAAATAGTAAGTTTCACCTCTGCTCCTGGCTGAGAAATAAAAGCTCCCCGTCGAGCCTATAAAACAGCGCGTGATTCCGCAGGTGCGCCTTTTCCAGACGGGGGATGTGGTCGTTTCCCACCTGGCGGCAAAGACGGCATCGCTGTACGTCGTCCACCTCCTCAATGAATCGGTGAGTTCTGGGGCAGCTTTCCTTATGCACGTCTCTCATCTGTGGTTAAAAGCTTCTAACCAAGTCAAGTATGAAAGCACATTTTGGGTGACGATGCTTGGGTGAGCAACCAAAAAGCTTGGGCACCGCTAAGGAACACACACGATGCTGTTACAGTAGAACCTCTACTTACGATTGCTTTAACATACGACTTTTCCAACATACGAAGCAAACGAGCAAATATACCACCAACATTCGAGCAAATATTCAGCTCGACATCCGAAGTAAATTTCCAACATATGTCGAAGTTCCTATGACATCGAAGTCATAGGAAAAAAGAAAAGAAAAGATAAATAAGATAAGTTAGTTTAAAGTTCAGTTAGTGAAAGTCAGAGTATGTCAGGGTACGTACTGTATTTCAGTCTCCACCTTTACCTCCAAAATGACCGTCTCCTCCGTTCACTAGTCTCTAAGGTGAAGTACCAGTTAAAAAAAACTTTTTTAAAAATTATTTCTTTATAATGTAGTTATTTTTACATCTTTCTTATATAATGCATTTATTTTAAATCTATGTGTAATTATACGCTGTATTTAATAAGGAGTTATCGTAGGTTTTTGGGGCTGTGGAACGAATTGTGCGAATTACATATTATTCTTATGGGAATATTTGAACCAACATATGAATATTTTAACATACAAAGTTCAATTCAATTCAATTTTATTTATATAGCGCCACTTCACAACAACAGTTGTCTCGCAGCGCTTTCCAAACAGAGCAGGTCAAAGTATGTCCCGGAACAAATTAAATTTGTATGTAGAGGTTCTACTGTATTTATGTCCATGCGTCTGCAGAGGCCCTCTGCCCCCAGTTGGCGTTGACCGACATTCTGGATATGTTTGTCCATCCTGTCTCCTCAGGGGACAGTCAGCTCCGTCTGGCAGGAGAAGTGTCTGCAGGCGTTCCACAGCTCGGTTCCCGGTACTGAGTTAGATGCCTGTCTGTGGTCACTGACTGATGTTCTGAAAAAACTCCTGAAAGGAACTCGTGAAGGTAAAATCCCTCCACAGGTCAGAGGGCAGCTCCGTCACCTCCATTTAGTCAGGCAGAGTCACACGGCAGGGAGAAATAAATCATAGATAAAAAAGAGTTTCGGTTCAAATTAGGGAAGTTTACATTCCACACACAAAGATATGTAATCAAAAAGAGTATATATGTGGCTCCATTTTTGTTATTTACCAACACCTAATTCCTGGATATTAACATTGGAATCCTGCTTTATTTCACATTCTAAAGACTTATTCATGCATAGCTGACCGGTGTGGAATCCAGGTGATAATGGCTGAGGCTGAAAAATGGGACGACCACTGGTTTAAAAAAGTCAGAGCTGTAATGCCCAGTAAAGTCTGATCCAGCAGCAGCTGTTGAGCTGAGTTTTCTGACAGAGAAGCTTCTGCTGTGGGGATGTGGCTCATGCTGTCCGTCTGTTCTTTCAGCTGTGCTTCTGGGAAAAGTCCTGGTGACCTTCGACCCCAGCTTGAGGGCTCTGACTTCCAAGCTGCTCATAGAAGACAGAAAAGAGGAGGGTTCGGGGTTCGGCCATCACCGGGGAGTAACCGTCTGCCTCCTGTTGGACCTGCTGGAGGCTCTGACTGCAGCCAGCTGGACATGTGAGGCAGAGGTCGACCTGGGGCCTCAGACTCTCATCCAGAGTCACTCCTCGGCCCTCCTGACGGCAGTTAGCTGCTCCTCGCCCTACTTCGTCAAAAGGCAGATCCTGCTGCTTCTGAAGCGAGCTCTGTTTCAGAAGCTGGGGGAGGACTGGTCTCTGGGAGGACTGAAACCCAGCAGCGGGAGCTCAGACACGAGCGTGCTGGCCCGGTGCGTGCTAACAGCGGTGGCCAACAACTGGTTGGAGAGTGTCCAGGTGGAGCCGGCCGCCTTCTTCGGCGGGACCAGACAGGTCGAGGCAGGGGAAGGACAGAAACCAGGTGGCGTGATGCAGAGAGCCGTCAGCCTGGTTGTGCTGAAGTCCGTCCAGCTTCAGATGGAACGAGCCGGAGCAGCTGGTGAGAATCCGCTGCCTTTATCGTCTGCTTTTCATAGGCGAATGTACGTTTGTGACGTGTATTTCCCCCCGGCCGTGCAGGAATTTTGTAAAGCCGTTCGATTGTGGCCTAAATCCTTCTCCTGTGTATCCTAAAGAGGTCCTGTGGGGTTAAGGGGAAGACTCTAGTGAACCTTGAATGTGTCTGTGGCATCACGGAGGAGAAAATGCTTTTACCGTAATTAGAAATCCATCTTATTTATTATACTCAGTCGGTTAACTGACCTGTTAGTTGTGTAGGTATTTCTCTTCTATTAAAGTAATCATCTAGAATCTATACACATGTTAACAACTTGAATTCATTTCCAACTTTTACCAAGTAATGGATACACACACTACGTGGTATTTTGTACATTATGACACCATCTCTACTGCAATTAAATAGAATTATGTTTTCTTTAAATAAGCTTTATTTGCTGTCTTTTGAATCATGAACTAAAATAATGACTCAAGTAATCATATGGCAGTTCAAAGAAGAAAAAGACATTTAAAAAGAAATGCTCAGATTATAATCCAGCGGCCACATTAGAGCCTACAGTTTGTTCAGCTCACACTCAGAAAGCAGCCTGACGTGTGCATCAGTGGACGGCTGCTTGTTTTTGCTAGCCTTGTTTTTAAATGAAAGGTTGAACTTAAATCATACAGCATCTATGACATTATATTATATAACAAACTAAAAATGCCATGAGCCGTCATCATATCGCCTTTTTGGGGCTCGTATCGTAGCCTTGACCTGAAATTAGACCTAGAAAATTAAATATTGTATTTTCTTCAGATATTTTTCTCTTCTAGCCTATCTGGGGTTGACAGCGTTTGGGCGGGCTACCGACTTCCATTTGCAACACATATTTTGAGAGCCGAAAACTAAAAATAACAATAATAATTACACATTAATACAATAAAATAAGTTTATATTAATATTTGACGATTGGAATAATGTCCAAATTTAGAACTACAATAAAAACGGACTAATGAAAGAACCGCGGGTTGCCGACCCCTGCAAGTAAACCAGTAAAAAGCTCCAGTAAAACCAGTGTTGTGCTGCTCACAGGAGGAGTGGGCGGAGCCTCGGACGCGTGGCGCTTTCTGCGCGGCTTGTGGGGCTTCCTGAGGCGGTGCTGCGGCTCTCCGGCGGAGCCCCGTCACACCTGCGGCTGGATCAGCGTGCTGTTTGCAGAACAGGACGACGACCTGATGGAAGCGAGCCTCACGTGCCTTTCCATCTTCCTCGCTTACAGGTAGCACGTACAGGGTGGTGGCTGGATACCCAGCTGAGCTTTTATTTTGAAGGAGCCGCTGAGACTCTTCTTCTTTTGCAGACAGTCCCCGGGGCGGGACGGCGAAGCTGGGCTGGAGGCAGCCTGCGCGTCGGGCTGCAACCCCCACTGCCACTTCGTTCTCCTGCTTCAGAGCGTCTCCTTCGACCACAGCATCCTCCTGGATTTCCTCATCTCCGCCGAAACCCGCTTCCTGGAATACTTTGTGCTGTACCTCAAGTACCTCAGAGAGGACTGGAAGGGCTTCGCGGCAGCATGCAGAAGTCTACACGCGTCAGACCGCTCATCTGCCGACGTAAGTGGTGGCCAAAGGCCTGCAGATAAAGCGGAGTCCAGCCCCTGTGTCCAGCTTGTATGTCGTAACGCACCATTGGGAGACTCCAGTTTGGGTTCTGGGCTCCGCCTTGTCGAGTACAGCTCTGATGAGTCGGAAGCAGAAGATGCTGAGGATCCTGAGATGGAACTGGGGGCGTCCGGACCGTTTGAAGCCACCGGGCTAAAACATCCAGGGTCACCCACGGCTGTCCCGGAAGAATGGAATTCCAGTGCGGAAAGAAAAGCACCCCCTGGAAGGACGTTGTCCGGGCCTGGGCAGGCTTCCTGCGACCTGTCGGACAGAGCAGTTCTCTGTTTGTCAGAGCTGAAAAAGGTGGTGGCCAGGCTGCATTCAAAGAAACTCTTCCCATACAACCCCTCTGCTCTCCTGAAGCTGCTGTCTCAGGTGGAGAGGAGAGGCCAGCCGTCATGACGGTGCTTGTGGCTTTTCTGTGTTTTTCTAATAAATGATTGTCAAACCAATTAGTCAGTGTGTCGTCATGCAGAGCGGACGTTTCTGTCTCTTTTTAGGTACTGCTTGTGCTATTAAAGACCTGAACAAAACACGATTAAGAAGTCTTGGTGTGACCCTTAACCCTTTAAAGCCTGATCCAAGAATGATAGGAAGAATATTGGATTTTTTTAGTCTGAAGTCTTTCTTTGGCCCCTCAAAAACATATGAAGAAAAAAAAATCTGAAATTATTTTGATCAAATTAGCGTGCATAAGTCAAAAATATATTTTTTCGTGCAGTCTTTTACTGGCTGTTATCAGGTATATCTGAATGTGTACAACAGGGGTTTCAGCAAAGCTTTTACCATTGAATAATGCAAAAACTCTCAGATCCAAAAGACTTCAGAAACCGTATGTATCAAATATGATACATTTGGCATTATAGGGATAAGCATGTTTGCTTATGGGTCACGCCAAATCATGCAGAATGGATCCAGCCCCCACCACCCTGATGTGACCCTGAACAGGTTTATTTTGCCTGGGGATCCTGCTACATGATGCTGTTGTCAGAAAAACAACCCCCCCACCCCCACCCTGACCCCCCTCATTTGACATGCCTTTAGGACTATGTTAGAGCTGTTCTCTTAGTCCTCTGCTCTTCTGAGGTTTTCTGCAAACTCTGGTTAGGATGATGTGAAGGAATCTGTCGGTTTAGGTAGAGCCTCTTCAGTTTCTCCTCTCTCACACTGTCAGTCCATAATTATCACCTTCCGACAAGATTGAAACCCGACACCACCCCCCCCCAGGTGACCAGCTCCTTGTCGTTGCCGGCAACTACAGACATTGTGGTCAAGTTCTCAAATTTTTGGGGGTTGTATTGTTGTGGGGAATGTTAAATTTGGCTTCTTTAGTTTGGTTCTGTACCTGTATTTTTTTTCACGCTTCTTTTTTTCCTTCCTAATATTTCTGTTCCTGCAGCGCATAATTATGTTTATTGTCTTTCAGTGTACAACACATCAGGGTGTCTGTGTAGTCAATAGTAACCTGTGGTACTAAACACAAATACAGCACGTGATAAGATCAGTGGCCCCAGAACACTCCCGAAAGACATAGCAGCCTTAAAGTTTTAAGACTGATGATTATTCCTTTGACCTTTACAATTGTACTCAAATTGTGAAATCTACATAACATGCTAAGCTCTACCAAAAGCCTATCAGACGTTAAGTCAAACAGAAAGTTGCCCATTTTGATATGATATCTAATTTTAGGTAAAAGTTTGCATTCACTCATCATGCCACCAGAGGACTGTATGGTAAGAGCCATCTGTCCTCCCTTTGAATGGAATCCCCAGTGATTCAAAAGATCAGCATCTTACTATTTCCATCGCAATGTAGGCAAAAGAACAGAAAGGAGCGAGGAACTTTTGCTAGTAATTACACTTTTGATTAGGTTTTCTTTTTGTTTTTAGGGTCGCTGTAAATATTTCATGCAGTCTATATTTTCATGAAAGAAATCTTTTAAGTTTAATTTGATGCATGTTTAATTTAGATTTAAAAAGTCTTGCCCCCGACTGTTTTCCCCTCTTTGTATTATGACATTGCGAACCAAGTGCAGTCTTTCTTTTCTGCTTGTTTCTCTTCATTTTAACACTTAGAAATTGGTTCATTTAAGCTCCTACCTTTTATCGAGGATTTTCCAACTTAATCCAGGTTATCCAAGAAAATGGGAGGTGTGTGTTGTCAGTGCCTTAACATTGATAAATTAAATGGTTTCTCCACCATTAAACATTAGTGGAGAAAGCATTTTTATAAAACAAATAAGTCAAAATGAGTGTTACATAGACGCAGAAGGTCCAGAGCAGCTGCAGCAGGCCGACACAGGTATTTAGAGCTCTGTCAGTCTTGACTTCTTTATCTAGGTTTGAACATCCAGCTCAAAATCCTGGCTCTCCTGCAGAGCTTTGTGTGGACTCAAGGCCAATCTCTCTGAGCCCAACAAAGACAGATGGATCCTGAAACCCTCACATCAGTGGTCGTTGGCTTCCCATCAATCATAACTCAGAACAACAGTTTCTACAAACTTTTGGGATTCTCTTCTTTTGGACATGCATTTTAAAAAAGATTGTTTATATAGATTTTTTAAAAAGTATTTTGTTTTAATCTACATGAGGCACCCTTGTAGAAAAAAAAAAAATCTTATTACAAAGTACTAAATGCATTATACTTAAAATACCGTCGGCTTCTTTTAACATTAGTTCCAGAAACTGGGACAGAGGAGATCAGTGCTATTTAATCTGCAGTAAAGAGGGAATATGTGCCAGCTTCTACTTATGAGCCGAACGGATAAAAAGACAGACTGAAAGACAGGTTTGTCAACTTCCACATCCTCAGACCCTTATACCGGCGGTGCCAAACAAAAACTCGAGATGGAAGAACACCTTGCTCATTCATTTCATGCTGGGCCTGAGATAAGCAAAAATAATTGTGAGTTAATACAACCTATATATTTGAAAACATTTACTTGGCTCCTTTTCATCCAAATGGTCTTTTTAGTTAACATCAATGTGTCTCTTATTTCACTAATCTGGAGTACCATCAGTTGTAAATTCAGCTTGACGGAGCTGTAGAACACTATTTGTTTTGTCACCACACACCTAAATGCAGGTGGTAGTAAAACCAAGTACAGTCAATACATGTTTTAAACCTTTGCAAATGTATCCTTCTATGTTAAATCCTGCGTCATTTTCTTGTGCTTTCTTGGCCAGTGTCAACAACTGGACGGCGGTTTTGCACTTTATCGTGAACACACACCAAACAAGGTTATTAGATCCCCTCGGGGCAGAGAAAAAAAAGTCTGTTTGTACTGTGACAGACTGTTAGCTTTCCTTTTACTTCCTGGAGGGTAGAAATAAAACCCTTCCCAGGCAATTGTGACAGTGATGGGTGTGACCATGAAGAATGTCAAACAAAGAGAGTCGCTGCTTGTCAAAGGGGAGAGGATTGTACCACCTTATCGCAGCAAACACTAGCGGAGAGCCACCATCTTTACCTGCTGTTTTAGACGCTCCGACGGCGGACAGGTAAGCCTTTGTTTTCCCATGACCTTGATCTGTGACTAGCCTTCCTTGTGCTTTTCTTCATCATAATATCATTGACAGCTCTAGTTTTTCTTGCTGTTTTGCGCAAAATGATGTGCATTGGGTCTGAATTTGGAGGTGGAATGTTGGTAGAACCTCAAAAAAGGTAATAATTTGACCAAACCTCCAACAGTAAAGTTTGCTCTGTGGTTGCTCCACCAGGGTTGAATGGACATGATTGACTCTAAGATGAACAAAAAGCTCTTGGAGGGTCTATGTTTTGCTTGAACTCTAAATGCTTTTTATAAGATTAGTGACATTGGTTGTTTAATACAGTATAGACCAATTTCCCATTTCATTTTTTTCAGTTTACAGGAACTAAAGCAGAGCTTTAAAAAACATGGTCAAAGCAGAACTAAATGCGATGGATCGAGGTTGTAATGAAAGTTTTGCTCGGTCTGTTGTGGTGAAGTAGAAGCTGAGCCGGGAGGCAAGGATCTCAGTTACCTAGTCCACCTTTGTTCCAGCTCTCATTTATCGTGCCTGAGGGAAAGAGGTTGCGGATAGAAGCATCAAAAAGGGGTTTCCCTTGTAGGTGGGCGGGGCTCTGCTCAAGAGATTGGGTTATAAGCTTTTTCATGGAGCTTTTTAGTAGAGCCGCCGCTCCTCCGCATCGAAAGGAATCTGTTGAGGTTGTTGGAGCATATAGTTACGATACCTCGTAACTGGTCGCCTCCCCATGGAAGACTTCTGGGCACGTTTTACAGGAGAAAACCCTGGGTTGCCTCGGGTATGAATCTGTTGCATAGCCTGGCTGTCCTGCATCTCATGGTGATTACCTCCAGCCCCACCATTGAGTGTCTCCGACATCTAAAGCTTCGAGTAAGGGGAAGTGGAAGATGAGAAACCATGAGGGAAGAATATTCTTCTGCAGGGCACGTAGTAGAAACAGAATGAAGAAGTGGCTGATATCAAGAGGTCCAGAACAGGTTGGATTGAAGGGGAACAAAGGAATTAACCATGAAAGTTCGAAAACGGACCCAGAGCTTCAATCAAGACCCCAGGAGACCTCCACACCAGTACAATGGTTGCCCACAATATGGAGAACAAGGCACTAGTACCAGATAAAGCGAGTTGACGTACAGTTACATCAGGGGGAATGGAATAGGAATTTTTAAAACACATGTTTGAAATAAATGTTACCACAGTGCCAGAAGTCATTTGAGTTCTCAGGACTATGACCTACAAACTGGGATAGTGGCTCCAACATATCCCAGGAATGACAAATGTCTCTGTCTAGAAGAGATGAGTTCATGTGCCACACATGTATTTGATGGTTGACTTCGAAGCCTTTTCAAACTGAAATTGAAAGTAAATTTGAATATTTTTGAGAAGTTCTAAGTGAAAAGACCAATACATTAGACCTCTTTCTAAAAGTTATTGTCTCTTCTTCTAAATATTTGAATATCCACTGGAAGTTAGGATAACCCTACCACTTTTCTGCTTCTATAGCCTGTCAGATCTGTAAGTGAAGCGAGATGCTTGACACACTGTACGAGTGGTTCTGGTGGGACAAAATCTGGCTGCCTGCAGAGCTTTCATGGGCTGACCTGGAAGACAAGGAGGAGCGGATCTATGCCAAAGCTTCAGATCTTTACGTCACGGTCCCCTACGCTTTTGGCTTTTTACTTGTCAGATACCTCTTTGAAAGGTATGACCCACTGCGCACACTCAGTTGGTATTTTTCCTTCCATGTATCAATTATTAGAACATACAAAAAATGATCAAGATAGTTCCTGGAATTCCACAGCTTCCATTCAAGGGGGATCTCTATGGAGCTTGCAGTATAACACTTGTAATATTTTCATGTTTCATGCCACATCGTTATTCTATAATGAGAAAAAAATCTGTAAAATGATCTGAAATGCACATTATGGTAAACACTGGATATATATCTACTGTTATTTGAACTTTTAACAGACAATAGAGAGTTGACCTCTGTATGGCATCAATAATGTGCTCTTCAGCTTATACCAAATGCTTGTTTAATGTATTCTAGATACATAGCAACCCAACTTGCAGTCTCTGCGGGAATCAAGCAACAGGTCCATCTCAAAGCAGTGGATAGCCCCATCCTGGAAGTCTTCTATATGACCCGGAGTAGAAATCCTGTTCAGGTAAAGTCTTTCAAAAGGTGACAATTCAATGGTTCAATGCAAGCATTACTCATAATTAATCGAGGGTTAATCTAATTAATAATAAACACATCTTTTTGGAACCATTATAAAAAAAAAGTATCTTATTTCATTTTGAATTATTCAAAAAGTACCAATTCCAAGGTTGAGCCAGAACAGAACAAGGTGACTCAAGATGGGCAAAAATAAAGCTGAATTCAAATTCTGAAGACCTGGGCCAGCCTTGAAGTTGGTACATTCCCTTTCCGGTTTATTTTGCCATTTGTAAAAGTGTCGCAGGACTTGTTCATTTGTTTTGTGAAATGCTATTTTTTTCTACAGTGTTATCTGTCTTAAGCTTTGTAAAAATATTTCTGTTTAGTATGTGTTTGCACCTTCTGGCTTCCATGTTAATGCCTCATAAAACGAAATTCTTGATTACTATTAATTTTGCATTCCTTTTATGATTTGCCTCTCTGTCTAATGGTGCTATAATCACATGCTAAAGCTTAAAATGAGCAGGTCCTGTTTTATATAAAAGTACAGTCATTGTTGTAGTAAATACGCATTACAGGTTAACAGTTCCCTGAAGTTCCAGTAAAGTAGTCATTGTTCAGTGTTGGACTTGTTTTAAATGACTGACGGTAACATGAACCATGTGAGCAGTGAAGAGTGTCACATCTCCCTCCCTATGACCAGCAATAGCCATTCTTCTCTGCTTGTACTTGGATGTAACACTGAGTAAAAACCCCTCTCTCCAATTTTTCTCAATTCCAGGCTGACATTGATGGGCTGTCAAAAAAATGCGGTTGGTCTGTGAGACAAGTTGAACGCTGGTTCCGAAGAAGACGCAGACAGGACTATCCAGGAGTCATGAAGAAGTTCAGAGAGGCCAGGTCACTACTCTGTGGGTGTGTGTGTGGGGGGCGGTGTTTAGGATGGAAAGTGACCATCCTCAAGACTTCGACTAGAATCCCTTTTAGGTCAAATTCTATTACTGAAATAAACTTAAATAAACTGAGCCCCAGTTGTGCCCTCTGGTATTGAGCCACTGACATAAGGCATATTTCCTTTCTCCTGCTTCTCAGTACAGTACTTTAAGGAGCAGTACTAGCAGTACCAGCTTCAGGTAGCAATCACCAAACAAACTCCGTGTGGGGCGACACCTCAGACAAAGATGTTGACATCTGCCGTATTTCCTCCAACTGGTTAGAATACATTGACATTTTGTCATAAACATCTGAGTTCAAATTGAAATCTTCTCGCTTCAGCACGAAAAACATGGCCTCTACACTTGGCTGATTAAGTGCAGATTCCTACTAGCATTTCAAAACAAATACAGATAAATGGCTGTAAAGAAGTAGTCATGAACAGATCTTTATCACAAGATTGTGGTTATCGCACAAAATTTAAGCACACTGAGATTTATAATTACTGCAATATTTCATCCAAAACTGTGAGCTGTTGCTGCTACTTTTGGAAACATATGTATTCAGATACATTTTGTCAAAATTAATTTAATGGTGTTGTAAGTAAATACACACTACTACACTTGAGGTTGAAAACCCGAGGCCATGTAGCCGCATGCGGCTTTTTGATCTTCATGCTGTGGAGTGGCTTGGGAAAATAAATCCTAAGTATTTGACTGAAGTCTATTGTATTAGTTGTTATTTCCTGTAGCCTTACATTGGAAGAATTTTGTGCTATTAAAGAAGAAGGTGCTGAGTTGGTCCTCTGTTCACATGGATGATTTACACTCAGCTTTTTTTCATTTGAAAGAGACCATGAACTTGGAATGTTGTGTTATTTTTATTTGTATATTCATTTATTTATTTATTTTTTAGCATTTACGGTTTTATTCTCATACTAGATGTCAAAATGTATTTGCGGCTGCCAGTGTTTTTTCCCTCAGAAACTGGGTCCAAAATAACCTTTGAGTGTTAAAGGTTTCTGATGCCTGTTCTATAAAAGTAAATATTAGTTTAAGTTATTTGTTATCAGCTGTTATCAGCTTGTTATCAGCTTTCTGAAAGAGCTCAGTAAATCAGTGTCTGGTCTGGGGTCTGTTCTGGGTTGGAAAACCAAGAAGCCAAAACAAAATGTTAATGATTTTAATAGATTTAATGCAGCACAAATTTACTACTACTTCTGTTTTTGTCCCTCTAATTGAAACAGTTGGAGGTTTTGCTTCTACCTGTGTGCATTCATTGGAGGAGTCTTAGCACTTTATGATGTAAGTAAAATATTTACACATCATTCATCTTTATAACTATAGTTTTACTTCTCATTTAGCATTACAGTAACTTCTACAAGCATCCAATTTTATCCCAATGCTTTTGCAGAAAGAATGGCTTTATGACACAAGAGAAGTATGGACAGCTTATCCGAAGCAGGTTTGTGTACTAAAGTCCATCTCCACATCAGGAAATATACCAGCTTTTGTCATGTCGTTTTTTTATTATTGAATTATAAGCATATATGCATTCTATCTTATCCGATAGTTATTTTCTTTGCGATAAAACCTTCAAGCACAATAATAGATTATAAAGATAATAAAGAAGATTATAATGTACAACCAGAAATTGTGTCTAATCTGAAAAACTATTTCAAGTTAGTCTAAATAAAAAAAATATTCTTATGAGTCTAATTGAACCACTGTGCTTCTCAGAATAAGCAAAGTCTTGCACGCCAATTAAATTAGCTAAAAGCTATTTAGTTATTGAAAATGATGCACAACATCTCTCTATTTTTGCTGTTATATGTAAAGAAACATCTGTGGGGGAGGTTAATATAGTTGCAGATACTTATTATTATCTTGTTTTTATTTTATCATATGTTGGGAAATGACAATGAGCGCAATTCATTCTTCCAGAATTTCTTCCTTAAGGGTTAAAACAAAGTGCATTGCATCAAGGCCCCAAACTGTTTGGATTCCACTTTAGAGCTTCCTTTGGGCTTCATCTTTTCTTTTTCTGACTCAGTTGGTTTGTACTTGTTTTTTTCCTCAGTCCATGCTGTCGTCTCAGTATTGGTATTATATCTTGGAGATGAGCTTCTACGGCTGCCTTCTCTTCAGTGTTACATTTGATGTCAAGAGAAAGGTAGGTGTAGACCACCAAATAAACTGTAATTATCTCTTGCATTCCCATTCCTCACAGTGTTAAATTATTTCACACTTTAAACCTTTGATGCGGCTTTAAATAAGGACATAAATCAATCTACCAGAGGCTTTTCTCCCATAGCCCACCTTTACTTTCACTGTTGAGTCTCAATTTGCCAAATTCAAAGTAAACACAAAGAAACTGGATTGGATTCCCAAAATTCAACAATTAAACTTCTGATTATATGATCCTTATATAAACCAGTTTAAGAGTGATCCTATAAAACTCTTTCAGTGTTATTCAGCTTCCAACTCTAGTTTTAAAAAGCTAAATATGTCTCTGTGACTTAAAGACATCAGGCTTTGTTGTTGTAAATGTTGTTGAATGAGAATGCTGGCATAGAAGGTAATCTCAAGAAAGCAAGGAGAAACTTTTACCCTACGCAAGAGGATTCCAACAACTGACTTAATTGGAGGAACACATCAGAGGAGCTGAGTTTTGTCACTTAGAAATTAAGTTGTGGCTGTGAGCTTATTATTGACTCCTGTTGCTTCAAATGAAAAGTTAGTTTGAATAAAAATGTTTGATGTATCTATGTGTGGTCTCTTGTTTTCCCTCTGATGTCTCTGACATTGTAATTATTTCATTTTTGGGGGGAAATAATGAAAATAAAAACCAAATGTTTAAACTATGAGCTTTTTTAAGGAGATGTGAATCTGACTGCGATGTGCTTTTCTATGATTACCTAATAATGGTTTTATTTTTTCCTCCTTCAGGACTTTAGGGAGCAAATTGTTCATCACATAGCCACTCTGATCCTTTTATCGTTTTCCTGGTGTGCCAACTTTATCAGAGTAGGAACCCTGGTGATGCTCATCCATGATGCTTCTGATGTCCTACTGGAAGTCAGTGACAGCTGCTTAATGCTATGAAAAGCTCCAATATTATGGCCCTGATTATGTTCACAGTCAACATTTTCAGAATTTCTTTATTCCTGCTCTTTCGCTAAATTAAGGCTTTTGTCATAGCACTGTTTGAAAAGAGCATGCAAGGGTTGTTGAAACAGTTCAGTTAATGTTGATTGACATTACACTCAGACACAATCTATCTTTCTTGGCTCCTCACTTTGATGGCACAGCATTTCCAAACAGGTTATTCAGAGGATCCCTGATTTGAATAATTGTGTCTTAATCCTCGGAAAACTTTTAAAGTATAATAAGTATTCTTAATTGGACAAATTTAATTTCTGAATTCACGTCTGGGAATGGCTGAACTGGTCTGAACTGCTTTTACAATCCCCCTGCCAGTCGATTCTCCTGTTTTCACCTAAACATGAGTCCTACTCAGGCATCATGTTCAACATATTGACTTTGAATGTTGTTTGTGAAGTTCCATTTCTTTTTGTTTTAGTCTGCCAAATTATTCAACTATGCCAGATGGGAGAAAACCAGCAACACTCTGTTTGTATTCTTTGCCGTGGTGTTCATGGTGACGCGGCTGATCATCTTTCCATTTTGGTAAGCTAAGTAAAGAAGTGTGTGAACCAAACTATTCAAAGTGTTGTTTTTGATCTGTTTACTGTCCATTTGTTCTGCTTATTCAAAATGATAAACTTATGAAGCATCATTTGGGACTTTCTTAACACAATAATCTAGTATTTTTTAAACAGTTCGCACAAAATAGTTTTATACATAAACAAACAAATAAAGCTGTTTGTTTGGCACAAATATGTGTTTGTTTCCTTGAACACAATAGATTCTTTGTCTTTAAATTATTTTATGAGTTCCAAACAAAGAATTGAAGTTGTTTCTGTAAATGTTCAGTTTCATTCCATTTCATTCCATTTATGGATGACATATAACAAAGCGGTCTATTCACTGCCTTAACTTCCTAAAGAAGTTCAATATCATCTTTTCGATTGACTCAAAGTTGCATTTCCAGTCTGTTGTGTATAGTTGTATTTGAGACACTGTTGGGACTGGTCTTGGTCCTCTAAAGTTCTACAATAGCATCTTGCACTTCTTTCTGCACAAGTGAACCATCAGTTGTTGAGGTGTTAGTGGTGCATCCTGCTCAAAAGTTGGAAATTTATGTTTACAATGAGTTAAAGTGATATTAGTCGATTCTGGTGTTGGGGAAATTGCAAACCTCTGCAGGGGGTGGATTGTTGCTACTAGTTCTTCAGGTCAGTTTGATATTTAAGAGCTCTTAATTAGAAGATATCAGGGGCCAGCTCAGGGGAAGATCTCACGCTCTTTAATATGCTGTTTCACCTAACCTAAGCAGTTTATTTCAGGCTCTGTCCTATTTCCCTGTGGAAAGCACACCGTTAGGGGGTTGGTATCACTACACTGTATGGCTTTTGGTAGAGGTGGTTGGTCCATAAAGATGCTAAAGTTGGAGTCTAAACGGAAATCCATGTCAGTCCCATGGTGAGGGTCTTCTAAGCAGAACATTAAATTGAACCCAGGATGAGGAATCTAACTCACTTGAACTGCCCTTTTAGCTTTTCCTTCTCCTGTATATGTTTGATCCAAAGTCCAAATCACCCCATTAGTCAGTCCGAATTAAAACAGCCTATTGAGCGAGAGGTAAAATGTGTTCAACAACCATGAAAAGAGAGGAATGATGCTCAGTGACTCCATTACTGCAAGAGATCCCAAACGGACTTGTAGAATAGATCTGTGCCAAGACTGAACCATTGGATTGTTTCAGAGAGATGATGCCGTTTGGTCTTAGAGATGTGTTAAATATGAGGTGTCAACATATGCTCTTTCCTTAGAGAGAGTGTTTACTTGTAGAATGTAATCGAACCTGATTTGGGTTAGACTCATAGAAGCTGCTTTCTCTATTTCAGGCTAATTCACTGTACCTGGGTTTACCCGATTCTGCACTACCCAGCCTTCTTTGGCTACTACTTCTTCAATGTGATGCTGGTGGTTCTTCTGGGCCTCCACATATTCTGGGCTTACCTCATCCTCCGCATGATCAGGAAATTTCTGTTTGGCACGGTAAGTCTGATCAGTACCAGTCTTTCAATGCAACCAACAATTTTTTTAAGTTTCACAGACTGTAAAAGTTGTAAACTGACCACTAAGCACTATACCCCCCCCCCCCCCAATACACCAGGCAAGTTAGGGTTAGGAACCTTGCCCAAGGACTCAACATGTAGAATCGAACCACTGACCCTTTAATCAGTAGAAAACTCAGGTCCAAAAAGTCAACTACCTTAAACCCTTTTTATTACGATTCGCATCCAGCGGTAAGTTGTCTTATGGCAGATCCTACATCCAACTTTGAAAACGTTGTTTATCATGTGTAAAGCTTCGTCAAATCAACAAAGAGAAACCAACAAAATATACGGTATATAAAAAACATTTTAAATTTTTTCTCACCCTACCTTTTTTTCCATAAAAAAGACTCCATTCCTCAGAAAGTTATTTTGATAGTTTTTATTATTGACAGAAGGACTGCTGATCATCATTCCTGTTTCTGTATAGCGACAAGTGTAGCAGCAGAGCCCTGTTTTGTAAAGATTTTCTTCCCACAATCGAATTCGGATGGTCTCTAGAGCAATGTTTCCTGACCCTGGTCATCAGGGCCCAAGTACCTGCATGTTCTCAACTTTGCCCAACTCCAGCACACCTGATTCACGTGAGGCACGTGACGCCATCCTTCTGCAGAGCTGAGGACTCATCCATTCATCCGAATCAGGTGTGCAGGGGCCGGGTAACTAGGAACACATGAAGGGCTGTGGGCACCGATGACGTGGGCTTAGAAAACTCTGCTCGGGAGCAGCCAGAAGCACATAGCTGAGCTGATAAAGGGCCATTGTTGTCTCTGACAACAGCCCCAAACTGCAGTTAATTGCTCTCAGCTGAAGGATCGGGCTCCCGATCTACACGGTATATACACCTCTGCTTCCCGGTACCACTTTGCAAAGAAACTCTTTACCTAAATCCAAATTTTCACTATTCTTTCCTTACCATGTCAAAGCTGACCCGTGATGAAAGGAGTGACGTCGATGAGGAAGATGAGCAAGACACTAGCTCCACAGAAGAAGAGGGACATGTCCAACAGCCCAAGCCCATCAATAAGAAGGATGGAAAGAACGGCTACTCTGGATTGTCTTCTGCAGACCGTGTCCACTAGTCAAAGACTGGTCAACCAGTCCTGCTCAGTGAAGCTGAAAATGTGATCATTCTAAAGCCAAATGTCACACACACTTGCACGTGAGCCTTTCCGTTCTCTTTGCACTTTTTTTTACTCACATTTAATAGGAGGTTGAAAGCTCGCGTTCGAGTCTTTGTGTATTTTATATTTTGGTTACGAAGCATCTGCTCTGAAAAATTTGACTTTGTAAACGGTGCACTGGTCCAGAAGCTTTCATGTTCTGATGAACTTGGACTGATGACATTGTCTCAAACCTATGCTATTAGAACCGTGTCAAAGAAATCGCAGAAACATTTAGCAGTGGTTTGTTGTCATGTCAGTGTAACTTTATTAAAACTAGCCGATATCAGGACAATATTTGAAGTTCTGGGGGCTTTTCGTATGGAGTTTGTACGTTCTCCCAATGTGTGTGTGGGCTCTCTCCATGTACCCCGGCTTGCTTCCAGATTTCATGCATGTTGGGTAATTTCTGTTTGACTCAATATTGTCCAGAGGAGTGAGCTGGGGTAGGCTCCAGTCTCCTTGATACCCTACTACGAATCACCACCACAGAAGAAGAAATGATGTTTCATATGCCACTATGATACTGCTTGGGACTAGCACATGGAGTACTAAAACCTCAATTATGAATAAGCAAAAGCAAAAGTTATAATTCCATAGATAGATAGATAGATAGATAGATAGATAGATAGATAGATAGATAGATAGATAGATAGATAGATAGATAGATAGAT